TTAGAAAAATAAGGCAAGTATTGGGAGTTTTTTTCTAATGCTTTCACTTTGTAAAATTGAAAAGCCATCTTGCCCCTACTTAAAAAATATTTTTTTTTTCTGGCCTAGTAAGTACTAAAATTAGGGAATCATTGGTCTATACAGCCTTGTTAAATGCCATTGTAGCCCTCCTCACATTCCTCGACCACTTCCCAAGAGGTGAACAATAAATAATCCTGATTTTAACCTTTTTCAGCCTCTGCCTTTCCTGGCTGAAGAGATTTAGTTGGTAAACCTGGGTATGAATTAGTAGGCCTCTTCATACCTCCTGTGACCACAGCTTACCTCTGATTTCAAGTTATACTCCTACAAAAAGTCCAAAAGGAAAATGACCATTTGTTTACTTCACAGTCTAAAGCTAAATATGGATTTTAATGATTATTACCAATATTCAGTAGTATTTGTTCAATGCACGTAAGTGTATATCCATTTCCCTGGTGAATTCCGTGTTTTTCTGGCTGAATAGAACATTTAATGGCAAAAAGTTTTGAATGCATTTTGGAAAAATAACATATACATTGCATCTGAACTTTTCTTTTTGCACAATTTAAGAAGATCTTTTTCTTTAAAAATAAACAAAATTGCATATATTTTTTAAAAAGTTCATCAAACTTACAAAAACTTGACCTGTCTTAATTAATTCTGCTTCTTAAAAAAGGGTTCCTGAGAGGGATGAGGGATCAAAGACTACACATTGGGTACAGTAAATACTGCTCACGTGATGGGCATACTAAAATCTCAGAAATAACCACTACATAACTTATTCATGTACAAAAAATATAAATTAAAAAAAAGAAAAAAGTGTTCCAACTTGGTGAGACTGATTGAAATGAAGACTAGTTGAAAAAAAACTTTTACAAGAAAGATTAAAAATGATCATGAAACACACATTTTATTGGAACTTTAAAAATCTATAAAAGGGAAATTATTATTCAAGAGTTACACAGTTTCAAGTTCAAGTGCTCTAAAATGTCAAGAGACACAGCTTACTCAGCAATACTAAAAGTAGCTTTCCTTGATCCAGCAATACCTAAACTACCAGAAAAATCTTCTGACAAACATTGGGAACTCACAGCCTCCTAATCTTTAATTACAAGCATAAAGCAGTAAAAGATGTATTGAGGAATTATATCCGACCTCACGGTAAGTTAAAGACAACATATAAATATGTCTGAGAAAATTCTATGAAGTAGTCTTTAACATACCAGCCTTATGATTTCATATTATTTTCATTCATACTTGCACACATGACTGCACATGGACATGTATAATACAAGAATAAAAATGAAGAAGTTCATGTAATGGGAACTATGTCAGTAAGATACAGTATTCAAGCAACAGCATGTTTTTCTTGGCTAATCTGATTAGGTTTTCTCTTTACACTGGGTTTGTTCGCTAGTCAAATCTGCCAACAGATGTAGTCAATGAAGTAAACAAGAAAAAAGAGTGGAATGACGTCTGTTACTATACAGACACTGCCATTATATAGCTTGATTACACAGACAATATAGAAGCTAAAGAAGACACTGAGTCAAACTTATAACTGATTAATAGACAACTTTAAAGAAAAAGGTGAATTATGTCTAAAGTTTTTACAACCTATTCATTTTGGATTTCTTCAATAACCTATGTATTGGAGAAAAGGCAACAGAGTTCCCTCAAAGAGAACAGAATTGCTAGTGGTTACTGTAGGTTCTAAAAGATGAGCATTTGTTGGGGAAGGAAGAGAGACGAGGAAATATAAAAACTGTACAAGACTATCAATCATGTCATTTACCCTTACAACATTCTAGACACCATTTTAAGCTCTTGACATCTATTTAATCCTCACAATCACGCTGAGGTAGGATTGATGATTATACCTATTTTACAGGTAAGGCATATGAGTTGCAGAGCAGATAAGTAACCTGCAGGAAGTCACACAGGTGGTAGGTGGTGCAGCTGGAATCTGAATCAGGCAAAGCGGCTGCATGGAGCATCTTAAAACATGCCCTCTGCATTACCATCATCTACCATGTTATGTATATTCTCTCATTTTACCCACACAACAATACTAGGAGGTAGGTAACACTGTCTCCAATTTACAGATAGAGAGATCAAGTCCTAGAAGCTAGTACCTTGTAGGGGATCATGAAATTATTAAATGGCAATGGAACTGAGATTCCAAGTGACAGGATGCAGACACCAAACCCCCAGAGAAGAGGAGTACCAACATGAAGTTTCTCAACTATACTAAACGGGGACATGGTCTCTGTGGCCCTTAAGAACTCTGTGCAGAGATAAGTGATTAATGCTATTGGAGTGTGGAGACAGTCTGTTCTATTCACCACAGGGAATTCCAATCCCTAAAACAGTGCATGACATATGTGAGGACACCCTGCACATTTTTGCACTTAATAATTCATCACAATTATCACACATAATAACTCAACAGTCATCACACTTAATAACTGATTGTTTAATCTCTTTCTTCACATGCTGCAAGCTCTGTTCATTTCCTGGAGCTTACTATACAGTGAGCAGGTACTGTTCTAGGTGCCTGCACTATGTCAGTGTCAAAATAAAGATCCTTACCCTTTGTTTACTTAGCTCTGCACCCCTATGCCCTAGCAGAGTATCCTGGTTTTCAGTAAATATGTACTGAATGAGTAAATGAATGAATTAGGAGGGGCAGGTAGGAGAAAAGGGAAAAAAAACTACAGAGAAAAGGAAATATTTGGGTTTTATCTATTAATCCCCAGATTTTTATTAAAATCTTAACATGCTTATTATTAATATAAATGATCATTTTTATTATTTAACTCATCTTTAAAAGCAGAAGTGTCACCAAATATATTTTAATTCCAGCAGTAAACTATGATCCAGGTTCTAAAAGAGGACACGTGTTTTGCTTCTTTGTCAGATAATTTTTTCAAATTATATTCCCCAGAGCTTAGCCTGTGTTTGCGTTCATTGCTTTCCAAAAGGTGACTTTACTAGGCAAGTTTTATCTCAGTAATTAGAAGCATTTATCTTAAAGCTCATTTGGTTTTAGCAGTGAGGTTATAGGCTGTCATCCACATTGTTATTGACTCCCTCAATTAGAGGCAATGGCATTTCACCTCCATGCAAAATATTAGTAAATTAACAATCTCCACTCCGCATTCATTTGAGAAATCTGCTCTGCTTGTGATGACGAATGTGACAAGCAGGGAGTAATCAGAGACACTCTGGTAACACCTTTGAGCCTTGCAAATATCAATTAAATCTGGCCTTGCACCTTACAGTTGGGGTTTGGTTTGTAGGGCAAATTTCTTTTTTTATGATACAGTGTGGAAGTTAGTGTTGGTAACTGGTGAGAAAAACGAACAACAGCCAATAATCCTAGCACTTTGGGAGGCCGAGGTGGGCAGATCATGAGGTCAGGAGTTCGAGACCAGCCTGGCCAACATGGTGAAACCCTGTCTCTACTAAAAATACAAAAAATTAGCCGGGCATCTGTAATCCCACCTACTTGGGAGGCTGAGTCAGGAGAATCGCTTGATCCCGGGAGATGGAGGTTGCAGTAAGCCGAGATCGTGCCATTGCACTTCAGCCCGGGCGACAGAGCAAGACTCCATCTCAAAAAAACAAGACCAAAAAAAAAAAAAAAAAAAAAGAACAAAAACCAAACAACTACCCCAACAAAACACAGCCACAGAAGCATCCACACTGATTTTCCCAAATCTTTTCAATTACTCAATGCCTGCTTTAAATCAAAATATGAACCCTGGCATTGTGAACAATTTCCAGATCAGATTTACAATTCTGCGACATGACAACTTTGACTCAAAGAGCAAATCATGTTGAAAATTTCTTTATGGTGCTAAAAAGATTGCAAAGAAATTATTTTTCAAATGTCATGTCTGTCTCTTTCAGGCCCGAGGGCATCCTAGTCTAATGAAGAGAGTTTTAACCCAGAAATTGTTAAGATCACAGGAGTTCTCTGGATGGGCTTCAGCTGGTTTACCTAACATTTGTGAAATAAAAGTCTTTATGTGCTTTTTATTGCAATGGGCATGGATCGCTTTGATTAGATTCTCTACAGAGGCCTGTAACCCAACTAGACAAAAGTTGGTCCACTGGCCCGGGTCCAAGGGCTGAGAGGAGGATTCTGCCAAGGTCTGCCACCATCCAGCTGTCAAGGAGCTGCTGTGGTTTTAGTGTCTTCTTGCATAAAGTGCTCTCTTCAGATGACCCATTATCCTCTTTGTCTCCTCTACACTTTCATACTGGAATCTGATGATGTGATGATCATAAATTTAGCTGAACCTTCACCTCTAATGTTCTAGATTCTAAAAACTATACAAACTAATGATTCAGTGTCATCTTTCATTGGCACATTGAATATCATCAGCCACAAAACAAACTAAAATTTTAGGAAAACATTAATATTTGCATTGCATCAAAGGAGCAGAAGGGTGACTACCTCCCATTTTGACACATTATCACTTCTTTATGACAAGTCAAACCCTTAGGAAACTTTTTCCGTGAAGTCAGAATCTCATTTCTTTATGTAGTACATTATGACAAACAACGCTTAAATCTATCATCACCCCACATCAACTGTGTGGTTATAAGTCTATCAATTTTGTTAGGCTTCCAAAGACAGACAGAAGAGTGGAGAGACTGGACAAATATCGCTTACAATCACCCAGACAGTGATTTTAAAACATTTTTTTACTTGAGGACTAAAGAATTTTGGCCAAGGTTAAAATTTATCTTCTTTCATAAAATCAATTAAATTAAAATGAATGTTTTTAAAAAACATTATGGCTTAAAAAGGCGAATCAGGTCAAAATGATACATTTTTTTTCCATTGGTTCTGTACCCCCAAAAAGCCACTTTTTAAGGTAAAGAGGATTTCGACATGAGAACATAGGCTAATGAGAGATCTGAAAGAGCGTTCTTGTATTGGACTTGTAAAACTTGAGCTAACTTACTGTCACGATGAGCCCCTTTTCCTGGAAGTATTTAACCAATGGAGCAGCGTTCTGCTTGAAGTTCATTAGTCTCCTTTGGGTAGCTTTTACGTTGTCGTCTGGTCGGCCCTGCTGTTCTGCACGCTTCAGTAATCTTTCTTTGAGTCTCTGATTAGCACAAGCCAGGAATACCACCAAGTCGGGGGTACAGATCTGTGGAGAGCATCAACAAACAGAGAGGCATTCAACATACCAACCAATGCATGTGGGCAGCTGCATCCATTTCCTGTTGTTCTGTGGAGGCTGCCATATATTTGGCCCTGTATGTTTTTGCCAGTATATCTCCAGGGCTGCCGCTCTACCCAAGGCCAGGAGCAGCCTTTCCCAGTGTAGTCCATGTAAATAGCATTCCCTAACTCATGTGGCCATATGCAGTAGCCAACACTTTTTATACATGCTCAAATAAGTTTCCAAGTTGAATTAAGAACAGTCTCAGCCAACCTTTGCTAAAAATATTGTATATGCGACTTGATTTTAGAGGGGAGGAACTACCGGGCCACAGGTGTTCTCTACAGTAAACAAGTACTATTGCTATGATTACTATTTGTTACCATTTAAAAATTATCTACTGTATGCCAGGCCCAATGCTATTTCCTTAAGATATTGCTGGCCGGGCGTGGTGGCTCATGCCTGTAATCCCAGCACTTTGGGAGGCTGAGGTGGGTGGATCACGAGGTCAGGTGTTTGATACCACGCTGACCAACATGGTGAAATCGTCTCTACTAAAAATACAAAAAAATTAGCCGGGCGTGGTGGCACGCACCTGTAATCCCAGCTACTCAGGAGGCTGAGGCAGGAGAATCACCTGAACCTGGGAGGCGGAGGTTGCAGTGAGCTGAGATCGTGTCATTGCACTCTAGCCTGGGCGACAGAGCAAGACTCCGTCTCAAAAAAAAAAAAAAAAATTGCTAAATTTTACAACAATCTGCAAGGTAAATGTTATCTCCATTTCATAGATGAGCAAAGTGAGGCTCTGAGAAATTAAAGTACTTGTCTGAGATCACATGGTCAGTAAAGTAAAAGTTAATATTTGAACTCCAGTCTGTCTGGTCTAAGGCCTCTGTTCCTTTCACTATCACAAAGTACTGAAAGGCCCAAAGGTCTTCATAAATTTCAGAAAATACTGAGGAGTGGCATGAAAAGAACCTATGAAGTAAAAAGTTTCTATTTAACTAAATTAGAACTAGCATTGCATTTAAAACATAACATGACTATATGAGGTGACTGCAGCTTATAACTGAGAACGGGAGAAGGCAAAAAGACAGTTTGCATAGTGGTTTGAAGCAATAATCTCCAAAGTGTTTTACTGCATCTTCACATTAGTAAATGTTTTAAGCATATACCCCAATTACTTATTAATTTACTAATTATGCATGTACATATGATATGCATGTATTACTATACTAGTACAGAATGCACATTGTAAAATATATATAAAAATACAATTTTTAAAGGATGGGATTCTACTATTGTAATTTTAACGATTTTTTTTCCCATATCACAGTGGTTTGCTTTGTGCACTCTGGAGACCACTAGTTAAAAAATGGACTTGGGAGGCTGGGAGACAAGGATTCCAGTTTTTTTTGCCCCAGGACTTACCAGCTGAACGATAGGCACATAATTTAATCTTGCTAAACCTCTATGTCCTTATCTGTCAATAGAGATACACGAACTGGCCTCCTTGAGTTATTATGAAGATTAAATAATATAAAATACACGGCATGTATGTTTCATGGCAGGTGCTCAATACATTTTAGCCACAGTTGCTATCTCTTAGTTTTCATGATTCTATGTGGCTCTGGTTCTCCTTTAACTTCTTATTTTTTATTTTGTTGTTTTGTCTTCTGCTCACATTGGTTCCTCCTCAGATCCCTGAAGTGGGGGGTGTTTTCCAAGGCTTAGATCATACTCTTTTCCCTCTCCAGGTTCTCACTCTTTCCGTGTCCTTCTACTGTTTTGGTTTCAGCCACTACCTTTAGCTGATAAAGTTCAAATCTCCACTGTCAGCACTGACTTTCAATAGCACCCCAGTTCTATATTTTCAAATGTCTATGTGACAGCTCTATTTATGTCTGAATGTTACCTGTGACTCGGCAAAAATTAATTTCAGCAACTTCCCACCTAAATAAAATCTCATCTTATTTATTTTTACTGTAGCAACACTCCTGTCCTAAATCTCTTAGCTGGAAGACTTAGTATCAATTCTAACCCTTACTCATCAAAACTTCTGTCTATCCAAGTTATCACTGCTGCCTATTGATTTTGTCTTTAAAAAATTGTTCAAATGACCAGGTGCGTTGGTTCATGCCTGTAATCCCAGCACTTTGGGAGGCCAAGGCAGGCAGATCGTGAGGTCAGGAGTTCGAGACCAGCCTGGCCAAAATGGTGGAACCCCATCTCTACTAAAAATACAAAAATTAGCTGGGTGTGGTGGCGTGTGCCTGTAGTCCCAGCTACTCAGGAGACTAAAGCAGGAGATTCACTTGAACCCGGGAAGCGGAGGTTGCAGTGAACTGAGATTATGCCATTGCACCCAAGCCTGGGCGGCAAGAGCAACACTCTGTCTCAAAAAAAAACAAAAACAAAAAACAAAAAACATTGTTCGACATCTCGTCTTCCAATTCTCACTGCCACTGTGTAAGCGCAGGAATATGCTAGGAAAGGTGATTAGGAGCGTGGATTGTGGAATCAGACAATCCTGGGTTTGAATCTAGAATCTGCCTTCTATTAGTTGTTTGTCCTTGTGTAAACTGTTCAACCCCTTTGAACCTCAGTTTTCCCAACTGTAAAGTAAGGAATAAACTCCTAACTCAGAAGTTAGTATTTCCCAATTTTTAAAAAACATGCAAATCATTTTTGAGAAACCTTAAAAAACTAGAAAATCACTTGTAATATTTGTGAGATATATCATAAAGAGATTACGTGAAGTTAAAGCTTTTATTTTAATCAAATATTATCTTATAAAATTCATAAACATAACTATCAGTAACATCCAGCTTCAGCCACTATAATAAAAGATATAATTTAAATTTTACTTTAAATAAATTACATAAGAATTTTGTTGACAAATAAAATGATATATTGTGCTTGGTTTGGTGATAACATGTATTAAAACATAAGAAAAAACTAACTCAGCTTTGAATGCAGATAAAAACTTCTTGCATTTTTACATTTTTGCATTTTGCACTGAAATGTTTTACTTTAATACATTTTGTGTTTGTTTTAGTCTGTTAATGTAAGTGCTTCTCTTTCCTTGACACAGTAAGGCCATGGATAGCCTTCTACACAGGTGTGATTACTACAACGATTACAATCATCACTATAGTCTGTCTTTTACTACAGGTATTGGCTTTTGAAAAACTAGCGACAGCTTGAAATTTATGTGGTTTTTTAATACTTTGAATAAAATTGCATTTTGTTTATGTATGTTTTTAGTTAGACTTTTTCCAAGCAGTTTTAGGTTTACAGAAAAATTAAGTGGGATATATAGGATTTTTGATCAATAAATGCAACTTCAGGTCTGAAAAAGATGACCTTGAAATGAATCTACTAAGCTATTGAATGTTATAACTGTGATTAATTTGCCGTCTTTCCTTGGTATAAATTAATGCCTTATGACTAGTTCAGTGGAAACCTTACAAGCCAGGAGAGAGTAGCATGACATATTTAAAGTGCTAAAGGAAAAAAAATCCATTACCCTGGAATAGCATATCCAGCAAAAATATCCTTCAAACATGACGGAGAAATAAAAATTTTCCCAGGCAAACAAAAGCTAAGGGATATCATCAACACCAGACCTGTCCTACAAGAAATGCTAAAGGGAGTACTTTAACCAGAAAGAAAAGTTAGTTAATGAGTAATAAGAAATCATATGAAGGTACAAAACTCACTGGCAATAGTAAGTACACACACAAAAAAACACAGAATATTATAATACTGTAGCTGTGGTGTGTAAGCTACTCTTATCCTAAGTAGAAAGACTAAATGATGCACCAGTCAAAAATAATAACAACAACAACTTTACAAGACATAAGATATAAATAAAAACAACAAAAAAAGTTTAAAAATGGGGGGATGAAGTTAAGGCATAGAGTTTTTATTAGTTGTCTTTTTGCTTGCTTGTTTGTTTATGCAAACAGTGTTGTTATCAGATTAAAATACGGGTTAGGGCTGGGTGCGGTGGCTCATGCCTGCAATCCTATCACTTTGGGAGGCTGAGGCGGGCAGATCATGAAGTTAAGAAATCGAGACCGTCCTGACCAACATGGCGAAACCTTGTCTCTACTAAAAATACAAAAATTAGCTGGGCGTGGTGGCACGCGCCTGTAGTCCCAGCTACTCGGGAGGCTGAGACAGGAGAATCACTTGAACCTGAGAGGCGGAGGCTGCAGGGAGATGAGACCACACTGCTACACATCAGCTTGGCAACAGAGTGAGACTCCGTCTCAATAAATAAATAAAGGGTTAAAAGATAGTATTTGCAAGCCTCATGGTAACCTCAAACCAAAAAAGATACAATGAATACACAAATAAATAAAAAGCATGAATGGGATTGGTGCCCTTTTAAGACAGAAACCAGAGACTCCCTGTCCCTTTCACCATGTGAGTGCACAGAGATAAGACTGCTATGAACCAGGAAGCAGGCCCTCACTAGACACCAAATATGCCAGTGCCTTGATCTTGCACTTCCTAGCCTCCAGAACTATGAGAAGTAAATTTCTACCGTTTTTAAGCCTGGATAAATAGATAAATAATATAGGACTGGGAATTTAAAAAGTTAAAATACAAAATAGCCAAGATCACCACAGCAGGTAGGCATAATCAGCTGACTGCTCCACCTCAGCCATAAGCACGCTCATGGGATTCCTTGTAACCCCCGCATAGAACCATGTATTACGGCCTCATGTTCTCCAATAGTGCTCCATTTTAAAGGGAAATTATACTTAAACTGTTTATGTTTTCCCCAAACTTTAGTAGCAGACATCATTCTATTTTAAAAGATGTGAAGACCCTGAAAGCTTTTAAGAAATTCACTGTGAAATGTTGAGAAGTATCAGCAAACAAAATAGTGGTCACAGGATCTTTGGCATCCTTTTCCTTAGTGTATGTTCTCAAAAAACATGTGCTGATTGAATGAGTGAATAAATAAATTA